AGCATAACTTTAGAGAATTTTTTAATGCACCCTATATATTACTAAGGCACCACGTCAAAATGCTAAAATTCACCCAGATTTCAGAGATGCATCTTCGGACGCACCCTGAGTTCATAGAATCCTAACTTAATGTTAAAATATTCCAGAGATGTATCTTCAAACTTATTTCGAAGATGCATCTCTAAAAGGTATTGAAGCTTAAATTGCGCCAGAATCCTTCTCCTTCCTCATTTAAAAAAAAAAACTCAAAACTTTCTCAAACTCTAAAATAAAATCATCAACCAAGTCCAAAATCAAACAACCAAGCTCAAAGGTTCTTCAATCAACATCAACTACATCATAAACATCATTCAACATTGAAATAAAGTCAAAATTTGTAAGTTTTTGATGTTTTGATAAGTTTTTTTAGTTTTTGTGTAAATGAGTAGAAAGTGATGAATTAGGTCAGAAATGAGTAGAAATTGCATGAATGGTAGTTTATACATACTGTAAAATATGTAACCATAGATGTATCTCCGAAAATTATCAGTCTATTTTTTCGATGTTTAGTTTCCTAGTAACCAAAGATGTATCTCCGGAAATTATCAGTCTATTTTTTCTTACTTGTAGTGTTGTTTGTACTAATTATTTGATTTACTTACATACATTATGACTGATAGAGACGATAGACTAAGGCGCTGAAGGATTTCACAGCATGCATCGGTGCGGAGGGAGAAGAGTCAGGTTTTGGAGGCTCCTATTCACTCTAGCCATGCGGAGGCATTTACTTCTAGGGCTTATGATTTTCCATTATCTTCTTCCCATAGGAGATGTGATTCACCTACCGAAACATCATTCCTTCCATCCTCTCACAGGTGACAGGTTTCACTTATTTAGGCGCTAGAGGTACCTGAGTCACTGGTGGTACCTCAGGCACCAGTGTCACCTATGATCATGGTTGTCAAACTCGCAGGTAAACTCGTACGAGTTTACGATTCTAGGAAGCATAAACGATTAAACTCATGCATAGAATCTTTTTTTGATAGACTTGAGTAAATTCGGGTAGACTCGCACAAACTCGTATAGAATCGCGAGTCTATAAGATTTTTTTTAAAAAAAAATTAAAACTAAAAAAGACCTAAAAGATTCTCTCTCTCTCTCTCTCTCTCTCTCTCTCTCTCTCTCTCTCTCTCTTGTTTCAACAAAGTTCTTCCTCCCTTCATCAACAGCGTGAGTTTGTTTTATCTCTTGCTTTGTTCGTGTTCATGGACGTAAGGAAATCCTTTGTTGTGTAAGTATTTTCTTATATGATTCAATTTGATGCTTCTCGTGTATGATATCATGTGTAAAGGTGATGCACCATTGTCCAATCAAGTCCAATGATCCCAATGCACATGTATCAATTTGCATGCGACAAAATAGTTTAGAAAGTTTATGATTTATGGCAGAAAATAGTTTAAGAAGGATATGTTACCTACTGAAGGGTGAGATTTGTATGAAGATATGACTCTAGAATTAAAGAGGTTTGTAATTTGTGTTCTAAGCTTAACTTATAGCTCCTCTAGTTGTGAATATAATTGAAATTCCTTTGAAATGACAATGAATTATTATTTGTTTTTTTTATAGACTTGATTTTAATATTTTTAGAAACATTGAGTTGAATTATTATTTACATTTTAGGTTCTTAAAAAGAGAAGAAATATGTTGCATCAAAAAGAGGTGAATATTTTGGTTTATATCATGTAGAATTTAAAGTTGAAAAGTCGAAAAGAAAAATAAAATAGTGTTGTTATTTGATTTGTGTCATATACAAGGCATTTATAAGTTAAAGAACACATGAGTGTGTCATATATGTGTAAATTATAAATTTTTGAATGTCATTTTTAATTTTCCATAGACTCGTACGAGTCTGCGAGTCAAGTCTATAGACCTTTAACGAGTCTGAGTAGACTCGCGAGTTTGACAACCTTGTCTATGACTGATTATGCTTCTGAGTCAGTGTCACCTCCGAATGATGAGGCTGCTGAGCCAGTACCACCTCAGACTAGTCAGGCTGCTGAGGATGATGGGCCATCTCAGGAATTTGGAGGAGGTCATGTAGAGTTGTCATTGTTGCCTCTGTACCCCGACCATACTGTTAGAAAAATATGAGACGGAGAGGTAAAATTAGTTGGCTTCATTTTGTTTTAATTTATGTTTATTATTACTGATCTGACCTGATTAGAAGGGAATCACTAGACCGCCACGCGTCTTTGATCTGCTTCCTGTTCACCGATGGTAAGAAGGAGGAGGGGGTGTACCTGCAAGACACTCCGATGGCAAAATGAGAGAGGACCAGAGTGAAGCAAATACAAAGAGAAGGTTTAGAATTGAATATCTGACCCTCTAATGAAAAAGGGTATTTATAGTGAGACCCCAGCGAAGGGCCAACGGTCACTTGTGTTGGACTGGATTGTCAGGCCCAACTCAAGGGACTGCTAGGGCTTACGTGGCGTAGTGAAGACCAGAACGTGGTCTTCGCCCTAGGTCAACTGCCCTGTGATCTCCGGAAGGTGGGCTAATCTTCTCTTTCGGAGGTGGGTAGTTGCTTGATGACGTGTCCCCGCGGAGGGGAGCACGTGGAGAACGTGTGAGGCACACGTCTTTCTGTCCGACAGGGGAAGCGTTCTACCCGACAGGGCAATGTCTGGTCAACGGGAGCCTTGTGCTCGACACATATGTGGAAGGCTCCTTTGGGCCTTTCCCCAAGTATAGGTGGGCTGGGTCTTCCCGGTCAGGCCGGGGCCTAAGCCAGAACAATTACATTACAAGTTTTTGACATAGGTTTATTTTTCTGCAGGACCATGATACGCTGAAGATTATTAATCATGGGCGGAAGATTACTAGCTTGCCTCAGCTGAATGAGGAGTGGTTTCATGTTGTTTTTCCCTAATTTAGATGAAGGATTTGTGGATGTACGGTTATATTACGGTCAATCACGAAATGTTTAATGCATTCGTGGAGAGATGGTACACTCAGACCTCGTCATTTCATCTACCGCTTGGTGAGATGTCTATCACACTCGACTATGTGTCGTGTTTGCTACATCTTCCGATCATGCAGAAACTTCTAGATCATGGAAGAATTAGCAAAGATGAGGCACTTAAGATGATGGTAGACTCAGAGGCTGTTATTAGGGAGTTTGAAAAAAACAATAGTGGCTTATACTATGTTTGAATTTCTGAAAAAAAGATATATACAAATGAGATCGTTAGAATAGAGCAAGCTAGAGGCGATGACGAGCATACTAGAGAGCAACTGGAGTTACATCGACGGGTACATCAAGTGGTTCTTCAAGGTGTCACATTCGTCTATGGTGCAGGTTGTTCTAAGAGATTCACCAAGACTAGTTCATCAAAAGATACTAAAGGAGGAGTAGACACGGTTAGATCATGCACATGATGTCTGACCTAGACGTCGTCGCATATTGAAAATTGCGCAGACGTGAATTGACAGAGATATCTTCACTGATAGGCCTGAGGTGAGGAAGGTCCTAAATGTCGTTATGACAAAGACACGAGAGACATTGATGTATTGTAGACAACATTAGAGAACGGGAGGTAGTGGAGGCCGAGGAGGCAAAAGAGTTGTAGTCCGACATATGCAGTAGTATATAGTAGTTGTACTTTGGATTCATTATGGATTATATTTTGTTTGACTTAATTTATGTTATTTTTTAACCATCTTGATTTATACATGTTATTTTTTGCATATTGATTATATGATTTAAATCTCATCACATAACAAGATTCTTGACGTTTATAAGTTATCACTTTTATCTGCATAAACCATAAAACAAACATAATTTACACTTTTCTAATAGATTACGAATATGTATCTCCATAAATCCTAAATAGAGATTAATCTCCAAATAATTAACATGTAAAATATTTTTTTTAGAGTTGGATACATGGTCTATGCATGAAAATATTTTATATATGCATTTCTGAAACAGTTAACATTTTAATTTTTAAAAAAATAAAACCGAAAATGTATTTTCAAAATGTAGTGAATATTTTAGATTTTCCATAAGATATATTTTTCCACCTGTAGATTGAGATAAGAAATTCCTTTAACTTTTTGTACATTTGAAAAGTAGTGTTAATGTTGTAAGATGAGAAATGCAAACGTCCATATAAAATTTATTTGTAACATGAGAAGTACAAACTTTAAACTTTATTGCTATTTGAATTTCGTTCACCTGATACTTTACTGTAACACTTTAGTCAAGCGCACGTAGTTGTCTAGCATTAAAATACATGTTTTTTTACTCAAACCATTAAAAATACATTATATTTGTATTTACAAAACTATTCTATTAAAAGTACACATGTCAAACTTTAAGCTTAATGTCAACAGCTAATCTTTGATGTTAATTCAACAGGTATTCTTAAATGGATGTTGCAGACATTTTTAAAACATCATAAAAATTCTTCTGCAAAAAATTGATTTATAGGTTCATATTTTTGTTAGTTTCACTTATTTTTATGGGATGAAAAGCAAAACATTTAAGAATTACTCGCGAGAAGTGTTACCGGTTCACATCTTTAAGTACAAAATCTTTAATTCCCCGCCCCATAATACAGTGTTGCAAGGAATGCATGTCATTCTTCCGAATCAGTACATACATTTTTTCCACATGAAAGTAAATATAAAAAATTGAAATATAATATATATCCTCTAAAAAATAGGCTATAAAACAGCACGAGGCACAAGTAATAATTAGAAAAATAAAAGAGGAATAATTTGTGGAACCAATACAAGTAAAATGTAAACTGTATTAACAGAAGAAACCTTTTTATGGGTAAAGCTTTGTCATGAAATTAACCCCTTAAGCATCTTTTTTATATACTTGTAGGGTCAATTCCCAACTTGTTATAGCTTACCTCCATAAAATGAACGACGGACAACAATCCACTCAATAAAAAGTGAAAGACTTTTTAGAATTTTACCACCAAGATAATGTGATCGAGTGCCGGCTGCTAATACTGTACCTTCTCGTCATTGAAATTCATGCTCTCAATACCTCGGAGAGTTGACTCAAAATTCTTTATGTTTGATGTGTTTCTGCTGGATGTTCCTTTGAGCTCTGATGATGTGATAGGTGAATTTCTTTGAGCACCAGAGGTTTTAAGGCGTGATCCAGGACTACCATCCCTTGCAAGAGGAAGAGAGGGTTCAATTTCACTGCCAACAACTGCATCACGACTGTTGGAAACAGCACCTACTCGTCTTGTAGATCCACTTGGTCGGAAGAAATTAGAACTAGACAACTACATAAACCATACACAAAATGTCAAAAATAAAATGAAAACTAGCTACAATATAATGATTTGTGTATTGTGCCAAGCAGGCAATGTCATAAATGACTAAAATCATTATTATCCCCTCTAACAAATGCATACAAGACCTCATTAACCCAAAAGTACAAGCACGGACAGTTTCTTTTAGCCGGAAAACAGGAACCAGAGTATACTACTAGCACAAAATGCTTAGATATAGAAAATCTGAAGCAGAGTTATGTTACTTTTCTAAAACAAAGATGACATCAGAAAAATATTTGCATTAATTGCTTATCTTATGCTTCAATTATGCACACAGACAGACAAATGTAACAGCCAATACTTTATAATTCTAGTTATGAATAGAAGAATCAAAGCAACAAATCATAGATTCATAATTTCTTTTCCTTCTTCGAAAAATGTGAAATGACTTTCATTTCTTGAACAAGAAAGGTAGTATAAAAGAAATAAATGAATATAATGTGAATACATATAACATAGTTTTTCAGCTTTCATACTCGGTCATGGTCATAAGCAGTCCTATCTATAAATGAGTATACTGACCATAGCATCTTTAGATGCAGTTGAGTCACTTGGAACCGGGGCTTTTTGTCTAAATAAGTCATTTGCAATAGGTCCAGAGTTTCTTCTACGAGCAGGATCTGATGAAGACCAACCAGCATGTCTACCCTCTTCCCCACCTAAGCATAAATTTCCACATAAAAATGAAAAAGCCGAGATATATGACAAAACATAAAACAACACAAAATCTACATAGAATATCTAATAGATTGTTGAGTTAATAAAGTAAGAAACCATACTTAAATAATAGACCAGGTTCGTAAAAGTAAAAGAAAATAAAACTATACCTGTCGGTCTATCAGTAGCACTCACAACAGCTGGTGGTATGCCAGAACTTGGCCCAGCACCAGAACCCTGCAATATATCATTTTCCGTAAGACAAACAAACCTAAACAACAGCACAATTAACGCAACCAGATAGCACACCACGACTTACAACGGCGCGTGAAGGAGGAGTGGCAATTTGAGATTGCTGATACTTCAAGATGGTCCAATCAAAGACATAATCAAACTGGAACCCTGGAGCAACAAAAGAACACCAGACAAAACATATAAGTGACATTAAAATGTAAAACATGACTACACCGTCTAGGTATCAAAGACCTTACTAATTTCAAAGTAAAATATAAATAGGAAAACAAAGAGGCTTAAACCTTCACGAATGAAAAGGTCACGAAAAAGCCTTTTCAAATATGCATAATCTGGTTTATCATCAAACCGCAATGACCGACAGTAATGGAAGTACGAAGCAAATTCTGAGGGGTAGCCACGACACAAGGACTAACAAAAAAGCAAACCACATTTTATTAAGATAAATAAAAAATAGTATGTACCAAAATAATACTTTTATAATACAGCTTTACCTCAATAGAAGTAGAAACTTTCTTCTCGCTGATTTTTTCGTACTTCTGTTTCTTAGTACCTGCTTTCAATCCCTGCCATGGAAGACTGTAGAAATACCAAGTATAAATAATTAAATTAAAAGCAGTTGATAAAGACAATACAACAGCATAATGGCAAGGATAATTACCTTCCTCTCAAAAAGTACATAAGAACATATCCAAGTGATTCTAAGTCGTCCCTACGGCTTTGCTCTGAAAAATAATGATTAGACATGTCCAAAGTTCAGAAAGCAATAGATGCGAAGCCAGGTGAGCTGGATGAAGATCACATTGAGAACATACCAATTCCAAGATGTGTATTCATACTAGCATATCTAGCAGTTCCTGTCAAATTCTTATTCTCTCTGAAAAGGAGTATAAGCAACTAAATTCAGAGAAAAACCACAAATAAATTGATTACTAAGAACTACAATACAATAAGCAAGTAGCATTTAAATAAATATATTGAAAGTTATTATAAAGTGATTAAATAAAATAACAAATTAAGTAAAATAAAATAAAGATGAATTACACAATCAACACAACATCTAAGCATTTTCCAATTAGGTAAGATAGATTCCATGAATCAATTGACACCGTAAAGTCCTATCACATAATAGGTCCAAAAAAAGATCCTCTAAATCTCTCATAATGGCTTGTCCTACAGTTTTCTTTCGCCTCCCTCTACCTCTAGTTATAAGACTATCCTCCAGCTGTACAACCCTTCTTACCAGCAATTCTACATGTTTTCTACACACATACAGATTACCTAAGACCTTGCCATTTTCTCTATAATGGAGAATACCTTAAATTTCTTTCTGGCGATTGTAACAGTCTATAGCAGAGTTATTAATTCCAGATAGTGGAGCGGAGCGGCCGACCTCAAAAATGGGATAGCGACGGATAGCAAGATAACTTTTTGGACTAATTATATGAATAATCTACATATATATTTAATGTAGATTAATTAACTTTTTGGACTAATTATATGAATAATCTACCTATATTAATCCCAGAATCAATATATCAATATATTTTTAAAAGAAAAGAAAAAAAAATGATATGAAAGAAAAAACAACCTGAAAACGAATAGATAAACAATGAATAGAGAACAAAATAGAAACGCAGAAAACAGTAGAGAAGAAGAAGAATAGAGAGATGCTTGAAGCAGTTGAGGCGGAGGAGTTAGGGCAAGAGAAGCAGCGAGCGAAAAACGCGAGAGGCCGCAAACAGAAGAAACGCGATGGAGAAAGGTGACAACGCGATTGAGAAAGGAGAAAACAAAAAAAAAAAAAAAAACTACAAGAAATTTTCCAATTTTAAAATTTTTTAAGGGTACAAAGGTCTTTTTGCACTCCAAAAAAGCACTAGTAGCAGAAAACCGCTCCGGGCCGGGAAGCGCTCTGCTCCCGCAACCCGCTATCCCAGCTTTCCCGGGCGCTATCCAAAACTGGGATGCGCATTGCTCCTCCATAGCGAAGGGTTGCCGCATTGGGAGAGAATCCCGGGATAGCGCCTGGAGTGGCCGCTATTAATAACTCTGGTCTATAGAGAAGTTACTTAAAGATAATATACAAGTATTTTAGCATTAACAACAGCTTGTTGTACACAAATTACAGAAGTAGAAACTAGCACCCGCTATTGCGACAAAAAAGATCTAGATTTGATAATTTTCTGTCCAGACCTATCAAATCTCATATAACTTATTACAATGGTGGGTACATTAAATTCTTCCAGCAATTCACACATCAACATTTGGTAGTGAATAAATTTATCACTAGTATTCTAAACCTCAAAGCTCTAGAGGAAAATAGATTACTTTGGCATCTTCTAACAATGCAAACAAAAAAATCACTTCTGCATAAAATACAAAACGAGAGGCCAATGTTGCTAAATAGCCACTATGGCGGCACCATACCACTAAGTGTAGCTGAATTTGGACAAACCACTTCTGTTCCGCGATATGACATTTAGTACAAATGTCAAATAGCCGCTATAGTGGCCACTATATCACTATTCCATAATGGAATTTTAAGAAACTGCTATTTTCCGCTATCCGCAATTGACGACAATGCCAGAAGCACAACCTAATGCTGCCACCCGATATTAAAGCTAATACTCTTCTATTAGGAAACCAATCCAAGTGAATAGTCAGGTAAGGGCCGTGCAACAAACAATACTTTGCATTTTCAGATATATTGAATTTGCCATTATCAGTTAACTGTAGTTCTAATTTCCTTCAGCGAAAATTCGTTTCGACAGTGCCATTACAGATAAATTCAGAAAAGCTAAGTAAAAATGTCAGAAAATACCTGTAAGGAATATGCTGATGAGTAGAGGTGTCTCTGTATTTTTTAGCGAGACCAAAGTCAATGGCATAAACCTACAAAATAAGTAAATTTGAAAAGGATAAATCCAATCCAAAAGATGACAGAAAAGGAGAAGAAAAAAAACGGAATTGAAAAAGCGAGAATTTAAATAATACTTGATTAGCACGCCTCCCCAAACCCATCAGGAAGTTGTCTGGCTTGATGTCCCTATGTAAAAATGACTTGGAATGAATATATTCAACTCGATTTATCTGCAAATCATTCAAGATTTCCCCATATTAAGAATTAAGTGAAAGAAAACTAGGAAATTTACTAAGAAATAAAGGAAAGCCTACCATCTGATCAGCAAGCATGAGTACAGTTTTAAGAGACAACTTGCGACTACAAAAACTGAATAAATCCTCGAGACTAGGTCCTAGTAAATCCATCACAAGAACATTGTACTCTCCTTCAACGCCAAACCATCTCACATTTGGGATACCAGCTTCAAATACAGATAGACAACCGAAAACGTTTAAAGTGAGTAATATGAAGTCTAATATGGTAAACAAAGACATCGGAAAGATAGAAATTCAGTAAGATAGGAGATTACTTCCTCCTTGAAGTACTTTATACAACTTTGATTCATACAACAATTGAGGATGCTTGGTTTTGACATTTTCCTGAATTCAAAAGCAATGAGAAAGAGAGAAATATCAATTAAGCACATCCATAATCCTCAACAATCAGCATTATTCTTCAATAAGTCAATTATCATCAATGTCACAATAAATCACAATATGCTTAAATAGCCAAGCCAAAGGCTTCTTTAAAGTTGCGGAACTAATGCACAAGGAATGAATTTAACTAATTAACACACGTAAACAGCGCACACCTATTATCACATCTGGTTTAATTAATTCCTCAACAAAAGTTCAAACAAAAACCCATTTGTTCTGCCAGCATGGACATAAAATAAACTCACTTTAAGTGTGTTCATATTACAAGGAGAGAGAAATAATTAAGATAAAATCGGAAATCCAATAGAATACATTCACTTGGAACATAAGTGTCTAATGTCAAATTAAGATGTCTAAAAAACATTGCTTTTGTTCTAGAAACTCCACCACACATCCCTTAAAGCACACTTTCATTATTTCAATTGTGTAAACTCATTAAAATTGAACAATATACGACACTAGTAAGAGTATATAGTATATACAACTTTTCCAACAAAAGATGACAAACAGTAAAATCACACCTTAATGAGCAAAAATAACTCTCACCACCAAACAATTAAATTATGCTTTGGAGTTACACAAATGAAAAATTAAGGTCAAAATTTTCCAAATAAAAATATGACATAATATTAATACTCACAAGCTTGATTGCAACCTCTTCGTTTGTCTGTATATTTGTACCTGAATTTTGCAAAAAGAACACAAATTCAAAGTTAAATAGAAAACATAAACTATAGATAATTCGCACAGCAACAAAAAAAAATCACAGATTAGAAGATTGAAGGAAACACATCACACCGAGATAGATCTCGCCGAAGGATCCGCTACCAATCTTGCGGCCAAGACGGAATTTGTTCCCAATACGAGGCTCCATTCGATCGGGTCAAAACCCTAGATGCGAGAATAAAACCCTAGAAATTGGGAAATTGAGAATCGGAAATTGAAAATGGATGGAGTTGGAAGTCGGTGTAGCTGAAGAGAATTGGAAGGGGAAGGGAATGGGGATAGAGACGAGAAATGAAGAAAAGTTGAAGGACAAAAATGGAAGAAAAAATGTTTCTCTCTCTGAAATGAAGGTGATTATTAGGGTAGAGAGAGAGAGAGGGGGATCGTGATGATGCCTCTCCTCCCCTCACGCTTTCACATCCAAGCGTATTTTCTTTTCTTACTTTTGGCTCAAGTCAGCAACTACATCAAACGACGTAGCTTCGATTTTGTAGTACTGGACTAAACAATAGAATTTACTTAATGATCGCTAATCGATACCAATAAGCTATCCAAAAGAATTCTTAATTAAATTGAAAAGATACAATGTTCTTTTATTTTAGATGATAATGAAAAGAGTTAGAAGTTCTATTAGACTAAACAATGGAATTTACTTATGCTCTCTATTATCGGTTAATTGATAATGATAAGTTATCTAAAAGAATTCTTAATGAAATGGAGAAGATAATTGATATCGATAAGTTATCTAAAAGAATTCTTAATGAAATGGAGAAGATACAACGTTCTTTTATTTTGAGTGATAATGAAAAAAATCGGTGTGTTCTGCTGGTTAATTGATAATGAAGATAGGTTGGAATACAATTACTCTTTTCAAAAATATGTGAGGGTTGGATTTGAGAAGTTTGGAGTAGACGAATGACGTTTGTCATATGAAATTAGGATAGGCTTTGAAGAGAGGGGAACAAAGTCTTTGAACTCAAATTCTTAAAAGAAATATAGTTGAGGTAGCATTATGAGTGGGGAGGTTATGGTGAGCCCAACTGATTTGGCTCTTTGGAAGACTATTAACTTCAAGATTATAAAATTTTGAGGTGTTAGAAATGGTGCAAATATCCTTTTTTGGGATGATAAATGGTTGGATGAGAAGACAAGATTGCGAGATGTGGCTGATATGGTACTTGAGAACTTTAGCACCAGAAGATTATGTGATGTCAATACTAATAAGGGTAAGTGGAATTTAGATTTGATTCATAACTGTATTATTTTGCTTGACTTTCAGCTGTTAAAGTTGTCTCAAAAAAATAGAAGAAAATCGAAGAACAAACAGAGGAAAGCACTCCAATTGCTAAGGTATATTTCTTACTTAATTTTTCTTGACTGCAAAGTCTTTTGTTGTCTGATGCCTCAGGTTTTTTACAGAGTTCCCGAAGGCCTCCTCTTACTCCCAAGAAACAAAAGACCAGGGGAACTTCCCACCAAATCATCATCGAATTAGACGAGGAGGACCAATCTCCTCCTGAAGAACAAACTTTGAAGAGGAGGAAGAAGCAAATTAAGATAACTGAAGCCTTCAACTAACCAAAACTAAAGGTTGGCAACCTCTCGATAACAGCAACTCCCACTAGTCACGCAGCGCAAGATGAAAGTGACAATTCTAGTCCTGGGGCTGGTGAGCCCAAGGTAAAAACTTCTTCTATAACTTTGTAGCACTTCTTTATCATTGAATCTTCTAATTTTTCTTTTTCCTTCATAGATTGCTACCGACACCAGGGGTCATCCCATGATTAAACAGATTATCCCTATAACCAGCAGTGAGCCAAGCTACCATCCGACAACTCCATCAGGGGCCTCTACGAGAAGCCCGACAAGAGGCTCTAAGGAGGGAATCCATTCTGCTGACACTCTCAAAAAGACACCAGTTACTCCTGCGGTGGAGTCTCCCCATATCGAGGCACATGCTCGAAAGGAGGACCCTGCCGAGAAAGAAGTTGTTGACTTTTATGGGGATACCGTGATACCTGATATAGAGCAACCTGTTAAGAGAGACTTTGAAGGAAAGATAAGCGAGGATGACAACCCCGTCGAAGAGGAAGAAAAAAATGAAGGGGATGGCGATGAGGAAGAAGAAGAAAAAGAAGAAAAAGGAGAAGAGAATGAAGAAAGAAAAGAATTAGAAAAGAAAGGAGCCTCGTGCAATAGGAAAGTCAGAGCCAACGTAGTTCGGAAAACTACAGGTAAAGGCGGGGGAAGGTTGCTCACCAAGACATCACCGTCTTGTGCCTACATATCCTCATCTGGTATGAGAAATCAGAGCAAACGTAGTTCGGGCTAACACAATCACAGGTTGGTTCAAGCCTTTTAACGGAGTAGGGTTAAACCTTCGTTCTAGCAGTTAGGTGTATTGTTGCTCGACCATTGGAGACTTAGGCGTTACCTGTTTGCGGTAGAACCTAGACTTAACACACTCTTTCTGAAAATGATTTTCAAACAATCTCGAAGGATAAAAAGGTTTGATGTTTTGTTTTGTATTTTTTTATGAAGAAGTGAATTGAGTTAAATTTGTAACTCATGTTGCACTAAAGACTATGACTTGAGAGCGAATGCGTCGCATATCGCCTAAAGGGCATATGCTAAACACTCTAGACAGATTGAGAGGAGGCCCCCAACTATCATTCCTCAAGTACTTAAGGCTCGTAGCGTACAACATTTATTATCCTTTATTAAGTGTCTTAAGGTGTTTAGGAGATGAGAAGAGAAGACACAAGCTCTAAGGGGAAACTAATCAACCCTAATGTTGTCATGCACAATGCTCCTAAAGTTGGGATTAAGAGGGGAAATATATCCTAATGTTATCATGCAAAGGATTGAACACCTAATGTCTCTCATACTCCCATCTTAGACAGAGGGACTAGGAATCCTAAGGGATCATGGCAAAAGACCAAGTAAACAACAAATAATTCAATCACAGATGAAATGGAAAAATGAGAAGAAGTGGACTTGAACAAGTCAAAGCAATGCAAACATGATATGCAAAGATGCACAGATGAGATGTGAGAATCAAATGATGCAACAAAGACCAATGATCAAAACAAGTTGACTTAAACAAGTCAAGAAGAGTGAGATGAAATGGGAGAAGTAACAACTCCTACAACCATTCAAACATCCATCACTTACACCAAAAGCTAAACAAAAAGCAAAAACAAAAGGCCATGATCAAAGATAAGATAGGAGAAAGAAGCTTGGGCAGCAAGCACATGAAAATTATCTCAACCAAACATCCAACAGTCATCATGCAAAAGAAATGAACAAACAAATGCTAAAAGTGATTCATTATCCAAGACAAACTCAAACTGCAAATATGGACACCAAATCATCTTGAATAAGAGGTAAACCACATGGGGCAGAAGTGGATCATCAAGAGAAAAACCTTAAATCAAATTAAGAAGCAATGCACAAACAAGAACCAAGTCAAGGCAAATGGAAGAACCAAAGTTCTATCTCATGTTCAACACTTAAAAACAAGTGGGAATGCCTAACTTCCAAGTAACTTGTGAAACAAGTTACACAAATGTGTGACCTAAAAATCAAGAACCATCACCTTAATCATGTCATAAACAAACATCAAGACTCATAGGGTGCATATGGGATCCATAAAAGTCATTTCCCAAAGGAACTAGGTCAAACTAGTTTGTATGAACCTCTTCTAAGATGACTTGACTTGCAAGCTTCATCAAAAATAGCAGAGTTGTTCAATAAAATCCAAATAAAAAACACAAAGTATCCAAGTCAAATGGCAAACAAAAGCCAAAGTTTCAAAGTCAAACTCAACTCAAGGCATCACCAAATAATTCAATTATCAAGGGTGTTCCACCTTATCGAGCATAAATCGAGGGACAATAAAAGTCAACTCAAATTCAAATGAAAAATGATAGTTGGTCACTCAAAATCATCCTCAAGAATACCTCAATACCTTATCTAGGTATGGGAGAGGCCATGGTCATAGGAGATAAAGAATTGAGGTCCAAACCAATCAAAACCACCAAAGGTATACACCATAAAAGTGATCCAATTGTAAAATTAAAATAAAATAGAAAAATAAAATAATCAGAAACAAAAATAATAGAAAATTAAATAACATCTTGAAATAATTGAAAACATTTTTTAGGAATTTTCTGATGATTGGAGCTATTTTAAAAATAAATAAATGAAAACAGAAAGAAAAAAGAAATAAAATAAATGAAAAACTATGGGAGGTGCATCAGCGAAGTTCAGAATGAACTAAAACAAGTGTAAAGCGCAATTGGGCTCAAAAGGAGGAGGGTGCAAATAGCAACTGAGGCCCAACTAATCCAGACTCAGTGTCTTAATGAAATGCAGCGTTTCATTAAAACACCTCATGGTCAAATCTCCACGCCATCAAAGTCAAGCCAATGAGTAATGGACAAGCATGCAAGTCAAAGGGTCCACGCATTCCACCTCAGCTCTGACTAGAAACACAACCAGACGCCGGAGTTAGGGGAAAAACCTCTATAAAAATGGTGAATTCTGGTATGGTTAGAAAGCTGAGACTACAAGGAGTATGAATCCAACCACCATTTCTTAAAAAGGTTCTTAAATAGAGAGATAACAGGCCACGATTTTCAAACTACACATTCTGAAACCTCAACAAACATCCATGAAAACTACACAAACATTGCCTATATTGCATAGGACTTCATATGCACCCTTAATGCAACCTATTAGATGCATAACATAAGAGATTTAAGTGAAGAAAACTTACCAAACGGAGTTGCTCCGTTGGCTCTTGAAAATGAATGCAAGCTTCTGTTTGACACTTCCAATTCTTCCTTGAACTCTACTGAAGATAATAGGCACCAAAACTTGAATGAAAATCCTAAGATGAACCAGATTCGAAGAAGGAAAAAATTGAGAAATTTGATGTGATTCTTTCTCTTTTTCACACAGCCAGCCAATTCTGATGGTTTAGGGCAAATGTTTAGCTTTTATGTGGTGGGTTTTCAGCAACCATGCAGGCCCATGTTGGCTGTATTGGTTGATTTCAAGTTTTGGCCAAAAATGAAATTTGAAGCACACATGGGTTATGGGGTATGGTACACTCCCTTGGTCAGCACAAATAGGGTATTTGGG